TTCGTTCTGCTGTGCATGGGGTCACTATGAGTTGGAAACGACTGGATGGCACTTAACAACAACAACAATAACAACAACTAAGTTGTTGCATTCTAATTTATTCATCTCTGTATAAGTTTTTCATGAATGATTAATATTACAGAGAAATTTCTTGGTACAAATACTTTTCCCTTTTGGCTTCTTAGTTCCAGATTTCATTCTCTTTGGGCAGAGGGTAAAAGTGCTTTTAGGCTCTTGAAATCATATTGTTGAATTGCCTACCAAAGAGGTGTACAATTAGTAATATCACCAGCAGTGTATAAAAATAGTGGTTTCACCACAGTGTTTTCATTATTGTGAAGTATTATTTTTTAAGATTTTAATAGTAGTAAAATGGCACCTTTTAATTAATTTATTTTTGCATAAGGAGAATGTTGAACATTTTTGTATATAATTCTTTAGTTTATGTGTAAATTATTTATGTATTTATATATGGTTGTTTTTATATTATGGTTTTGATATAGTCCAACAGTGTGTGTCAGGACTTTATGTAATACAGAGATACATCTTAATCTTTTAACTTTTTTGAACTTAGTGCTGCTTTTCATTATGTACATGTTATTTTATGTTTTTTGATTGAGTTCTTTTGTGATTTTCTAAATCATTGAGATTTTCTCATAGAAATGTCTCTTATATTAGCTTACTTTTTTTTTTTTTTTTGTATTGTTAGGACTTCTGCTGTCTGTAGTATTACTATACTCTTTTAACTGGTTTTTCTGCCAGACCTTTCCCCTCCAATCCCTCTTTATTTTTCTACTTAAGGGAATATTAATTGAGTGCTTAATAGGTGCCATGCCTTGTGCACAACACTTTTTCATGGATTATCTCATTTAATCCTTACAACAATTCTGTAAGAATAGGTACTTTTATTATTCCCTGTTTTAACAGATGAAAAAAAGTGAGGTATAGGGAGGTTAAATAACTTTTTAAAATGTCATAATTAGCAAGTAGAGAAGCTGGTATAATTGGACTCCATACCCAGAGCTGCTATCTGCTGTGCTCTGCTTTTTCCAGATTTATTGTCCTTAAACCAAAACGTGAAAATAAAACAAACAAAAATCCCCCAAATTTCAAATAACTTAAAATTTCTAATGGCTCCCCATTTGTGTCATAATGTAATGAGCTCAACATTGGTGTCAGATACACCAGTCCTGGCTTTGTCACTTATTATCTGTGTGACTTGGGGTAAGGTAGTGTACTGTTTGAACTTCATTATTTTCATCTGTTTGATAGGAATAATATAATTCAAATTCTAATTTGAGGATTTAGTGAGATGGTGTGTATAAAGTTTCTAGCCTAAGGCTTGGTACATTGGTGCTGTGGCTGGTAGGTTCTCTTTACATTTTTTTAGAAAATAAAATGGATATTTCTTAACAGGACATCCAGGATCTTCCCCCTTTTCATACAATCTCTCACTGCAGCTTTAGCTCCTTTTCTCATCCACCTAGCCACCATGTTTGTACTCCAGCTGACTTCTCTTGTTACCTTAAATTGCTCTTTGTTATCATGACTGGCTTTGCTTTTCCCCTCTGGAACTGGCCAATTTCTTCAATCCCAGTTTGCATATCACTTTACGTGAAATCTTCCCTTACTCTCTTATAAACTGCTATGGGATTTTTACATTATTAAAAACGTGTGTTACTTATTGTTTATCATAGTATAATTATCTTGTAATTTTCTTTAGTGTCCTCCACTAAATAGAAAAATTATTTGAGGGGAGTAAAGAGTATGCCTTATTCACCTTTGAACACTTAAAAGTATTCAAAGATGAATACGTATGACATGTAGTAAACCCAAAACCAAACCCACTGCCATTGAATCGCTTCTGACTTATAGTGACCCTATGGGACAGAGTAGACCTCTCCATAGAGTTTCTAAGACTGTAAATCTTTATGGATCAGACTGCAACACCTTTCTTCTGCAGAGTGGCTGGTGGGTCCTAACCTTTGAGGTTAGGATATATTGGTAAAATATTATTATTATTATTATTTACTTTTATTTTGGTGAAAACATACACAATAAGACATTTGCTCACAAAACAATGTCTACATTTACAGCTTAGGGACATTGGTAAAATATTAATTTTTTAAAAATGAGTTGAATACAGATTTCTCTGTATTCTACTATAATTTTAGTTGTATTATAATCAGATTTGATTTTTCTATATTCAGTAGATTCATATTTTGTTTTTGTTGTTTTTGCACAGTTGAAAATGCTATGGATTGTTTATTAGAATTATCTGCCACTGATGCTGAGAAAGAAGAATCCTTTTCAAAAAGCTTACCTGCTTCTGAGAACCAAGAAAGTGTAGCAGGAATTGATATAATGGAAAAGTGTCCTGAAAAAGAGAATAAAGATACAATATTGGATTCTGTTTTGGACATGCAACTAACTGAAGACTTTGATTGCTTAATAGAGGATGCTTTTGAGACATTGGACTGTTCTAATGGCCAAGTATCTTCATCTCTTCCCTTGCAAGATGTTAATAGTTTAAGTGACACACGTGAGTGTATAAGTTCAGATCCGAGTAGCTTGACTCCTGTTCTTTCTTCACAAAATAAGGATTTGAACGATGAAATTTTACTGAATTCTGCCTCTACGTTAAGTTTAAACTCCTTAACTTCACATTTAACTTTGAATGTGTCCAAAAGTTTTTCAAAGGATAACACACTGGCACTGGAAGATAACCATCCAGAAGATTCTCTTCTAAATAGTCCTTTAAATGTGGCAAATGACTCCATCCTGGGTTGTAGCAATCTCGGTCAAGGACAGAAAGAGCTTTTAAAAGCTCAATGTGTTGGGACTCAGTTTCCTCAAGCCCCTGTAGATTGGGATGACAACGAACCTCAGGCTTCTTTAAATCTTTCTGTGCAGAATCCAGAGCTTGATTTACTAGATACAGTTGGAGATCAAAAATCTACTTCTGCCTCTGATGTGTTAGTACCTTCTGAAGGGTTCACTTTCAAGCCATACAAGCCTACTGAACTGACAAGAAAGGGGAAGGATGTAAATTACTGCCCAGTACTTACCTCTCTTCCTTTAATGCTGCCTCCTTGTCCACCTTCACTAATGTGGAGTCCAGTGATTCCCACTTTTGAGCTCTTTCAAGGAAACCATGGCTTTGTAACTCCTGTTGTAACAACAGCTGCACACTGGAGACCTGTCAACTATACATTTCCATCTCCAGTTATTTCTTATACTTCCCAAACCAAGATATGGAGACATAAAGAGGGAACCAGTGCTTACCAAGTACGAGAAACTCCAGTTTCTCAGGCTGTAAGAAAGAAAAGAACATGTTATGTTGGACTAGTTCTTGTTCTTCTCAGAGGGCTTCCAGGATCAGGAAAATCTTTTTTGGCAAGGTATGTGGTTTAATTGAGTTAAAAACAAGTATAATATGTGTACACAGACATTTATAATACATATTGAATATAGGAAATAGGTTGCTTAATAAGATGTTTGGTAACCCCTAAAATATTTCCATTTACTGATTTGTTCTAACTTTGTAGCTAATAGTATGGTTTACTCTAGATGCCTTCATTTTCATCTCAGAATATTTTTGAGAGAATGAAGAGGAGGAAAAATCAAAGATGATTCTAAGATTGTGAATATGGAAGGTTAACAGAAATAGTTTTATGTGGAAACTATTGACTGGGAGAGGGATGCCATTATCGAGTTAAAAAACCATAATTGATTTTGAATTTGTAGAAAGGAGATTTTAAATAGAAGAATTCTGCTGGGAGTTGGAAATTTGGGATTGTAGCATGTTGTTGAATACAGCTTTTAGAAATGTGTAATTTGAGGGAAGAGAATTTAGGATGAATTAGAATAGTAGTTCAGAGAACTGCAACATTAATTCAAGTCCATTGTAAGTCCCAAGGTCAGCAGAGCATGGCAGGGTGCTGAACAACGACATGGCTACATGCAGGGTCCAAGCATGCCATAAGCTAGAGACTATCCCCAAGTCTTCTCCTTATATACAGGAAGCAGACTACATCCCAAAGGCAGCTACTCAGCTGCTTGTGGTAGATCCCACCATGGAGATGATTGCTAGTCTCATCATGTAGAATAACTACCACCAGCTGTCCAGCCACTCACCCAGACCCATCCAAGCTGACATACAAATTTAACTACCACACTTGGTATGGGAGATTGGAGTCAGTGATAGAGGAAGGTTTTTGTGATTTCAGGGACACTCACTTTATTAAAGAGTTTGTTTTCACTGTCTTCACCCACCTTATCCTTTAAATTCTAGAACATTAACACCATATATACACACACACACACACACACATATTTATGAGAGAGGGAGAGAGAGGCTCATTTTCATTTGTTTTTTTTATATGCTTTCTTTGTCTGAATTTATCTTCCTGAAAATTTCCACATATTCTCATATACTTAGAAATATATTCTTCTGTAGACTCATATTATGGTCTTTTCATTGATTAATAGCAACAATAATAATAAAACATTCAAATGGAATAACAGTTTACAATTAGTCATGGTTTTGCATTTTGTGAAAGAGATTCGAATTACAAGTGATACATTAAAAAGGTGGTAGAGCTGTAAGGTTTGACGAACTAGGTTTCAGGGGCCTTCCAGTCAGAGGCAGCTATAGTTAGAGCATGGGAGGAGAAAGAAGTTCTTTTCACAAAATTGAAACTTAATATATTTTTTTAATGAATAAAGGTAAGTAACTGGGATAGTTCAAAGATACAGATGTTGAGATCGTTTTCATGGAGAAAATATGGTCCCTAGTATTAAACCTGTGTGTAAGCTCAAAGAAGCTTGAGGGATTAAAAAAAAGGTTTCTGGATTTATTGGCAAGAATGAATCTCTTAAAAAAATTTTTTTTTGTTGTGCTGTGAGGGTAAAGGATTGAGGAAGCATGGATTATGAAACACTTTAAGGGAAGGAGATAAGTAATAATTGAAAGGTATCTTTAAAGTGTAGCTACAGTTTTTTAAGATAGCTGAGATAAATGCATGTTTAAAGACAAAAGAAGAAGTGCTAGAGAAGAGGGAATTTAGAAATGAAGGGCATGAATACAGGAGTCTTAGAAGGTTGGATGAAGTGAACATTGATTGGAATGTAAACTCATGAGGGCAAGAATTTTTGTCTTTTTTGTTTACTGATGCATTCTCAATGCCTAGAATAGTGCCTGACATATAGTAGATGTTAGTAAAAATAAATTCAAAGCAGTTTGAGATTTAGATACATTTATATGTATTTTAGGAGGAGTGGTTAAAAATAGTAGTGTTAGTAATGTCCCTGGATTTTATTTGCTTAGTTTTTGCATGAATCCCAGTTATGTCGAAGATGAAATTCCAGAATCAGGAAAAAGAGATGTCAAGAAAACCAGTCTAAACTTTGTATAATTTTGTTTAACTTATTAAATCTATTATCGATTAACATATCTTTAGATGTTTTTGGCATACTCACCAAATTTATAGCAGTATTCAGAGAGCATTATATATTTCAAAACCTGTTCCATCTTAGTAGTTAGTTGGCCTACCTTGAAGTGACCTCCAGCTTCTAGTAGGTGAAGTAAGTAGGTCAATGTGTATCAAGTGGCCGGATGAGGGTGATATCTGTGACTGATAGAGTTCTGAAGAGTTTTAAAGTATTTTTAATTGCTAGGTCTTCTTGATAATTATAAATTTGTTAATCTCCAAAACTTCATTAATAATTTTCTTTTAAAATTTTCTGTATAATAATTTACATCAAGCAAAATAGACCTACCTTAGGTCAACTTTCATGGGAGTTTCATACTAATGCTTTGAGAATTTGTAGTATGATTTGTTTGAGTATTACAATATTCTCCCTCCTTTAAATATTCTTGAAGTTTTCATTTGGATCATGACTTTGTAAAAATTAGGAATAAGAATTTAGAAAGAAAAATTAATGAAAACAATACCATTTATTATTTGTAGGACTTTGCGAGAGGATAATCCAAGTGGAGTCATTCTTAGTACTGATGATTATTTTTATATAAATGGACAGTACCAGTTTGATGTAAAGTACTTAAGAGAAGCACATGAATGGAACCAGCATCGTGGTAAGCATAGACATCAGATTCTGGGTACTAGTGAGATTAATATAAAGTAAAAATTCACTTGGTATTTGTATTTTGAGAGACATATATCTTTTAAAAAGTTAAAATATATGTGGAAAGTGTATTAATTATTATGTTACATGTTGTTGTTGTGTGCTGTCGAGTCGGCCTCGACTCATAGAGACCCCTCCTTGGGTTGCCGAGGCAGTATCACTACGGAAGTAGATTGCCCGACCTTCCTTCCCAGGAGTGGCTGGTATTATGTTACATAGTAAGATGTAAAAGTAGTAGTCTTATTCCTTAGGATTTTTATGAGGATTTTCTGCTTGGGTCCAGAATAGCTCAGTGAGGTTACCATTGTTTGGTATGTTCTGGTTTCTGTTTCCTAAAAACTGAATTTACGTTGTTAACCATCGCGCTTCCCTAGATTGTCTTATTCTTGTGGAGGCTAGTGTGAGAGTAAAAATGACTGAAAAATTCTCAAACTGAATCTTCAGGAAGGTCAGGGGTAAAACCTTAATTTCCTTATTAGTACCACTACCTAGTCAATGAAGATGGCTTTATCATTATATGTTTATTTAATGCAAATTGTTTGCATAATTTGAGTTTTATGTAGGTAATTTTTGCTAAGACATAAAGACAATAATTTACTTAGCTTTTATGATAAATGCTCTGTGAGGGAGATGCTTGAGTTTGCCATCTTTATTGTTGTTGGGTGCCATCAAGTTGATTCTGACTCATAGTGACCCCATGTGACAGAGTAGAGCTGCCTGGCCCATAGGAATTCTTGGCTATAGTTTTTGTGGAAGAGTGAAGAAAACCAAAGACACTTGAAAACAATTAGTCCAAGGGACTGTGGATCACACGAATCTCAGTTTATATGATCATGAGACCAGAAGAAATAGATGGTGCCCAGCTACCATTTTTAACTAGTAGGAAAGGGATCACTGCAGGAGATCCTGGATAGAGTAGGGCAACAGTATGGAACAAAACTCAAATTCATAAAAAAGACCAGATTGACTGGTCTGAAGGAGCCTGGTGAAACCCCTGAGACTGTGGCTCCTAGTTATCCTTCAGGTCTGGAATTGAACTCACTCCTGTGGCTTCCAGCCAAACAGTAGACAGGCATATAGGGTGAACATTTACATCAGGTAGATACACTCCTTAGAACGATTGTACAGGTTATTTATACTCTCGGAGGCACCTAGTAATCTGTTTCCATGAGATTACAGACAGCCATTGAAAACCCTCTGGAGTACAATTCTGCTGTGAAGCAATGGGTTTCTGTGGTTTATACATGTAATATACACATAAACTTAGATCAGATAATTCTTATTTTATACTTTTTCCTAACGATTACATAATTTTATTATTTATTACGCGATATTTATCTGTATTTTCATATAGTTAAAAGTAGAATAGTGAGTAAAATTGGGAGCTCTGGTAGTGTAGTGCCTAAAGCACTTGATAGCTGACCAGAAGGCTGGTGGTTCAAACCCACCACCCACTCCTCGGAAGGAAGGTCGGGCAATCTACTTCCGTAGTGATACTGCCTCAGAAACCCAAGGAGGGGTTGCTATGAGTCGGGTCCGACTCAACAGCACATAACAACAACAACAACAACAACAACATGGTTTTTAAGTTATAAAAAGAAGGTCAAAATTTTAAAAAAATCAAGATAACATTAATATTGTTATGAAAATGACTTTTTCATTTTCTGTTTGTGTTTTTCAGCAAAAGAAGCATTTGAGAAGAAAGTATCTCCTGTAATAATAGATAATACAAACTTACAGGCATGGGAAATGAGGCCTTATGTTACTTTGGTTTGTACCATAAATTGTCATAAGTCTATTGTTACGAGTTTGAAGTTATTGGGGCATGTTACTTATATAAGAGAATCTCATCAAACAACCTTTAGATTATTTGTAATTGAGCTTTCTTTGGTCCTCAGCAAAATAAGATGAATAAAATAGTATAGCTAAGTTATTCTGTAAAGCTAAATTTATTCACGTTCTAAATTCTGAGTGTTCTTGTTTTTTCATGTCTTTATGAAAAGGTTGTTGTATTGTAATTTTATGGTTTTTTTTTTTTTTTGTATATATGTAGTTTTTTTCTTGTGGGTAACCCCATTCCTTGATTTTCTTTTTGCATTTTTCCCATACTTTTTTTTGTGTATATATGTAAAATAATTACATATATAATATATACACACAATATAATACAGAATACACACACAATAATATACATACAATATAATATATATGTGCACTGTATATTATATATATATATAAAATTACATATATGTAACTTATTTATTTTTTAGTGCCCTTACTTGGCAGAGTAAAAATTTGCTTGTTGTTTGTTCCCAAATGCCTTTGAAATTTGCTATTTTAAGAAATTCAGAATTCTGTAAGTTGAACTGTTTGTAACTCTTCAAATTAACCAGATTCCTTTTAATTTCTAGCCCTTTGAGTATGCTTCTCTCTTTGTCATTCCTCCTTCTGTCTACTTTTATGTAACTTATAGTTACTTATTTTGCCTAAGCTTTGACATCACCTTTCAGGAAGTTCTCAATCATTAATTTACTATATGGTGGAGTTAGGTAGTCTTTCTGTTTTCATGATATCCTGGCTTACTCCTGTCATAGCAGTAACCAATCTTGTTTTTAATTATTAGGCTGTTGTTGTTGTTGTTGTTGTTTGCCATCGAGTTGGCCCCGACTCACAGCAACCCCTCCTTGGGTTTCCGAGGCAGTATCACTACGGAAGTAGGAATGCCCAACCTTCCTTCCGATGAGCGGCTGGTGGGTTTGAACTGCCAGCCTTCTGGTTAGCAGTCAAGTGCCTTAAATTATTTGGCTGAGGGTTGGCTAAATTGTTTTGAATATTGTGTTTTTGGTGAAAGTTTACACCGCAAATAAGATCTCCATTCAGCAGTTTGTACACAAATTGTTCTGTGACACTGGTTAGAGTCCCTGTAATTTGTCAGCACTCTTAAAATTTCCACCCTGCCTGCTTCATTTCCATCCATCTAGTTTCTCTGCCCCTTCTTCCTTCTTATCTTTGCTTTTGTGTAGACATTGGATGTTGATCTTGTATAGTTGACTGTTTGAATGTGGCTTACTTTTTCTACAAAGGGCAGAGTAGTAAATGTTTTAGGCTTTGTAGTCCATATACAGCTGTCACACACACACTCACACATACACACACACATCTATTTAACAATCCTTTAAAGATATAAACACTATTCTTAACTCATAGGCTGTATAGACACTAGCTGGATTTGGCTCTGTGCCATCTCTCTGTTTTTTAGGGTGATGTTACATTTTATTCATCACTGAGACCCCAGGGTATATAGCACTATGCTTGCCATATTAAAAGAAAACAACAACCTCAGTGCCCTCGAGTTGAATCCAACTCATAGCGACCCCTCCTTGGGTTTCTGAGGCAGTATCTCTGTAGAAGTAGATTGCCCAGTCTTGCGAGGAGTGGCTAGTGGGTTTGAACCATCAGCCTTCTGGTCAGCAGTCAAATGCCTTTGGCACTATGCCACCAGAGCTCCTTGGTGTATAGTAGCCGTATATTCATTGAGCATCTATTTGTTGAGTGAATCTTTCGTGAACATAGGGTGTTTTTTGGGTTTTTCCCCTAGGACTAGCACATGCTTGACATATGGGAGCTCAGTTAATGCTCCTTTAATGAATGAATATGGTACTTCCTTTTTATAGTCCTCAACACATCAAGCCTCTCTTTACCTTCTTTCCTATGTCTAGTGCAGTTCTGCTATTTTGAAGGTGAGATTCTTCACTATTCTGAAGAAAATTGGGTCTTTTGAAAGCAAATGAGATTTTGCTTCTGGGCAAGAATAGTAAAATAAACAGACTCAATGTTTGTGCATTGGGAGCTGAGATTAGGTTTCCTTTCTGGCCTTGTTGTTGTTGTTATGTAACGTCGAGTCGGCCCAACTCATAGCGACCCCTCCTTGGGTTTCTGAGGCAGTATCAATATGGAAGTAGATTGCCCCATCTTCCTTCCGAGGAGGGCTGGTGGGTTTGAACCACCAGCCTTCTGGTTAGCAGTCAAGTGCCTTAGGCACTACACTACCAGAGCTCCCTTTCTGGCTTTAGAAGTTCCTAATATCTGAAGTAAGATATTCACCATGGGGTCTTGCTTTTCCCCCTTATCATTACATGACTTACTTGAAGGTCTTCTTTAGATTTCTGCTGTCATCTTTTAAAGTTTTTTAACCTTTATTTTCATAGGTAGAAAATAAAGAAGGCTTCTGAATTGCCATTTTTCTCCTTTTCATCTTCAGGCTTTTATTATTCCATTTCTCTTTTTTCTTATATGGTAATGGAAACTATAAAGCTGTATTGTCTCAGTATCAATTCCTTAGCTCTTCCCAACCCTATTTTTATAAGTATAAAGGATTCCTGCTTATCATGCTGTTGTTGTTGTTATGTGCCGTTGAGTTGGACCCGACTTATAGCAACCCCTCCTTGGGTTTCCGAGGCTGTATCACTATGGAAGTAGATTGCCCCATCTTCCTTCCAAGGAGTGGCT